GATGAACAAATCCCCTTAATAAAAGGATTTGTTCTGTAAAAACTGGACTTGGTCTAAAGGCCACTTGTCGGAAGCAGAGATGCCATAGAATGAACTAGCAGTGGGGGGTGGGGTACTAGGGAGAGACAGCTTTATCCCTTTGGCATCCCTGCCCTTCCCTCCCAAACAGGGGAGACCAGAGTGACTGACAAAATACCATTTACCGTATGCTGAGGGAAGTGCTGCATCCTTCCTGCTCCCTAAATGGGGAGTCCCACCACATATTACAGGGGATCCACGAGGCCTGCTCTGGGCCTTACCAAGCACACTGCTCCTGACTACGAAGCGTCCCCTCAATCTGAAGCCTCTGCTCCCCCGGACATCCTTCTCTAAGGCTCACAAGGCCCTTGAACCCCTCGCTACACTGGCTCCCAAGACGGCTAAAGGGCCCACGGGGTGGGGGCGCGGCGTCGGGAAGCCCTGAGTTCGAATCTGCCCTCACGCTTCCCAGCGGTGGGACCCCCCCCCCCGCCAGGGGTCTACCCCGCCGCCGCCGCCCCCCAGGCTCGGGGGAGACGCTTCGAGGAGGGCTCCCGGAGTCCAGGGGCGGGCCCGGAAGGGCCCTCTCTGGGGGAGACCCTGGCCCAGCCCAGCCCCCTCCCACCCCCGAGGCCCGGCCTCACCTGAACTGGAACCTACGGGCCGGGCACAGCAGCTGCGGCGAGGGCGCCTGGGACGGCCGCTCCCACCGCGGGGGCTCGGGCGGGCCCGGCCCGCCCAGGTAAATGCCCATGAACAGCGGCTGCCCGGCGGGCCCGAGGCCCCGGGGCGGCGGCTGCAGCGGGGCCCCGTCCGCCGCGGCCTCGGCGGGCGGCGGCAGGCGGCAGGCCCGCGGCTGGGAGAACAGCGGGCTGCAGTACGGGCACCGGGCCGGCTTCCGGGGGCTCAGGCCCCACCAGGCCGCGGCGGCCCCCACGCCCAGCCAGGCCAGCGCCGCCGCCGCTGGCATCAGGAACATCGTGAGGCCCAGCAGCGAGAGGCCCAGCAGCGCCGCAGCGCCGCCCGGCCGACCCCGCACCCAGGGGCCCCGGGAGATCCCGGATGCCGCGGCCCTCTGCCGTCGCTCGTTCCGCTTCGCTCTGGTGCCGGTCTCGGTCTCGGTCCCGGTCCCGGT